ACCTAAAAGAAGTAGATGATAATTAATGTTCACAATTTAAAGAAAAATATGCTTCCAAAGCTTGATGATGGAAGGGGCTTCTACCCTAACAGAATGGGGTCTCGAGCTTTTTCTTTCCTTATTCTCTTATTTTTAAAAATTAAAAACTAATTAATAGTTTGTTACATTTGTTTTATTCCTAGTATATATACACTTTTTTCCTCAACCATTTTTTTTTTAAGATTTTATTTATTTATTTGACAGAGACAACGTGAGAGGGAACACAAGCAGGGGGAGTGGGAGAGGGAAAAGCAGGCCCTCCACTGAGCAGGGAGCCCGATGCGGGGCTCGATCCCAGGACCCTGGGATCATGACCTGAGCCGAAGGCAGATGCTTAACAACTGAGACACCCAGGCGCCCCTTCCTCAACCATTTGAAAGTAAATTGCAGACATGGCATTTTACCCCTAAATACTTAAGCAGATATCTTAAAATAAGGACTTTCTCTTCCTACATTACCACAATACTGTTAATATATTTCAAGAAGTTTGCCATAAGATATATACAGTCAGTTTTTCTGAAGAGTCCAGGCCAGTGGTGTAGAATGCCTTACAGTCTGCACTCTTGTTTCCTCATGATTAAAATCCAGTTAAACATTTTTGGCAAGAATACTACACAGATGAGGGGTGCCTGGCTGGCTCAGTCAGTAATGTGTGACTCTCAGGGTTGTGAGTTTGAGCCCCACATTAGGTGTAGAGATTACTTTAAAAAATTAAAAATTAAGGGGCGCCTGGGTGGTGGTGTCTGACTTCAGCCCAGATCATGATCTTAGGGCCCTGGGATTCAGCCCTGCCTTGGGCTCCACACTCAGCGGGGAATGTGCTTCTCCCTCTCCCTTTTCCCCTCCCTCTGCTCGTGCTGTCTCTCAAATAAAACCTTTTTTAAAAAATAAATAAAAATTATAAAGAATACTACACAGATGATGTGAAATTCCAGTTAGATCCCCTCAAGATGGATGTGATGTCAGTATGTCCTAGCATCTTTGTATATTTACCCATCAGCTGATGGGAGACAATAATGTAATAATAAAATGAAGAAATGGGGCTTTTTTCTCTGTGCGTACATCCCTGGTGTGTCTTCCTAATAAGGATACTATTCCTATTGGATTAGGGCCCCACCCTTATGACCTCATTTAATCACTTAAAGGCTTTATCTCTCAACTGTTACACTGGGGGGTTAGAGCTTAAACATATGAATGGGGGTTGGGGTTGGATAAAATTCAGTCTATAACATTAAACGCACACACCTGACTAGTACAAAAACAGGACAGGCTTTTGAAGCAGATAAGGATTCAACCCTCACCTCTACAACTTTGTGGTCTTCGGCAGATCGGTTAATCCCTGTCACCCTCACTTCACTTTCCTTACACATATGTGAAATGGGTATGATAGTGCCACATAAGGATGTTGTGAGGATTGGGAAATAAATCTTCCCTGGAAGGAAGTGACATGAATTAATGTGGGGGTGAAAGTGAAGCTGGTGACCTGGGACCTCACAAAAGACCCGCAGATTCATGTAGTTATCTGCTCTACCAATAATGGGAGAAGTCAAAGGTTAGAGTATGAAACCTGTGAGATGTGAAAAGAGTTTCAGAGGGAAGTAGCAGGATTGAATTGAATAAGACACAATGGAAAGATATACCATGCTCACGGATGGAAAAATTAACTCTCGATGAACATGATGCAGAAATCCTCAACAAAATATTAGCAAACTGAATTTAAGAATACATTAAAAGGATCATGTTCCATGATCAAGTGAGATTTATTCCAGGGATGCAAGGAGATTCGACGTCTGCAAATTACAATCAACCTGATACACCACAGTAACAAATTAAGGATAAAAATTATGTGATCATCTCAACAGATGCAGGAAAAGCATCTGGCAAAATTCAAGATCTATATATGATAAAACCTCAACAAAGTGTGTCTAGCGTGAACGTATCTCAACATAATAAAGGCCATAGATGACAAGCCTGCAGCTAACATCACACTCAAAAGTGAAAAACTGAAAGTAAGATCAGGAACAAGACAAGGATGTCCACTCTACTTTTATTCAACACAGTATTGGAAGTCCTAGCCAGACCAATAATAAAAGGCCTCCATATGGGAAAGTAGAAGTAAAACTGTCACTATTTTAAGATGATCTATTATATATAGATAATCCTAAAGACTCCCAACAAAATCTGCTAGAACTAATGAATGATTTTGGTAAAGTTGCAGGATACAAAATCAATATACAAAAATCTGTTGTTTCTATACACTAACAACTATCAGAAAGAAAACAATCCCGTTTACAATTGCTTCAAAAACAAAATACCTAGGAATAAAGGAGGTGAAAACTTTCTGAAAACTGTAAGACTTTAACGAAAGAAATTGAATAAGACACAAATGGAAAGATATACCATGCTCATGGATTGAAAGAATATTGTTAAAATGTACATACTACCCAAAGCAATCTATAGATTCAATGCAATCCCTCCCAAGATCCCAACAGCATTTTTCACAGAAATAGAACAAAGCATCTTAAAATAAGTATGAAACCACAAAAGACCCTGAATGGCTAAAGCAATCTTTTTTTTTTTTTTTTTAAGATTTTATTTATTTATTTGACAGAGAGAGACACAGCAAGAGAGGGAATACAAGCAGAGGGAGTGGGAGAGGGAGAAGCAGCCTTTCCACAGAGCAGGGAGCCCAACGCGGGGCTCAATCCCAGGACCCTGGGATCATGACCTGAGCCAAAGGCAGACGCTTAACGACTGAGCCATCCAGGCGCCCCAGCTGAAGCAATCTTGAGAAAGAACAAAGTTGGTGGCAACCTGCTCCCTGATTTCAAACTATATTTCAAAGCTGTAGTAATCAAAACAGTATGGTATTGGCATAAAAACATTTTAGGTCAATAGAACACAATAGAGAGCCCAGAAATAAACCCACATATGTATGGTCAACTAATTTACAACAAAGGAGACAAGAATATACTGTGAGGAAAGGACAGTCTCTTCAATAAATGGTGTTGAGAAAAACCGGACAGCCACACTCAAAAGAATGAAACCAGACCACTATCTTACACCATACACAAAAATTAACTCAAAATGGATTAAAGCCTTGAATGTAAGACCTAAAACTATAAAACTCATAGAAGAAAACATTGGCAGTAAGCTCCTTGACACTGGTCTTGTTGATGATTTTTGGATCTGACACCAAAAGCAAAGGCAACAAAAGCAAAAATAAATGGAACTACATCAAACTAAAAAGCAGAACAGCGGGTGCCTGGGTGGCTCAGTCAGGCATCTGACTCTTGATTTCGGCTTGGGTCATGATCTCAGGATCGTGAGATTGAGCCCTGCGTTGGGCTCCACGCTCAGCAGGGAGTCTGCTTGACATTCTCTCCCTCTCCCTCTGCCCCTCCTCCTGCTCATGGGTGTGTGTGTGCTCTCTAAAATTAAAAAAAAAAAAAAAACTTTTTAAAATAGCTGAACAGGGGCGCCTGGGTGGCTCAGTCGTTAAGCGTCTGCCTTCAGCTCAGGTCATGATCCCAGGGTCCTGGGATCAAGCCCCGCATCAGGCTCCCTGCTCCGCAGGAAGCCTGCTTCTCCCTCTCCCACTCTCCCTGTTTGTGTTCCTTCTCTCGCTGTGTCTCTGTCAAATAAACAAATAAAATCTTTAATAAAAAATAAAAGTGGACAGAAAATGGGGTCCCTGGGTGACTAGGTTAAGTGTCCAACTCTTTTTTTTTTATTATTTATTTTATTTATTTATTTGACAGCACAGATAGGCAGAGCAGAAGGCAGAGGGATCGAGCCCTGTGTTGGGCTCCACGTTGAGCTAGGAGCCTGCTTGAGATTCTCTCTCTCCTTCTCCCCCTGCCCCTCCCCTCCCATTCACACTCTCTCTAATTAAAAAATGGGTAGAGGACCCTAATAGACAATTTTCCAAAGAAGGCATACAGATGGCCAATAGGCACATGAAAAGGTGCTCAAATCACTAATCAGGGAAATGCAAATCAAAACCGTAGAGAGATTTCCACCTTACACCTGTTAGAATGGCTATTCTCAAAAAGACAAGAAATAACAAGTGTTGGCAAGGATGTGGAGAAAAGAACCCTCGTGTGGGGATGCAAACTGGTGCAGCCACTATGAAGAACAGTATAGAGTTTTCCTCAAAAAATTAAAAATAGAACTCCTGTATGATCCAGCAATTCCACTTCTGGGTATTTATCCAAAGACAATGAAAACATTAATCTGAAAAGATATATGCACCCCCCCCCCATGTTCACCGCAGCATTATTTATAATAGCCAAGATATGGAAACAACCTAAGTGTCCATCGATGGATGAATGGATAAAGAAAAAATGGCATATATATAGAATAGAATACTATTCAGTCATAAAAAGAATGAAATCTTGCCATTTGCAACAACATGGATGGAGCCCTGAGAGGGCATTATGCTAAGTGAAATAAGTTGGACCGAGAGACAAATATTGTATGATCTCATATGTGGAATTAAAAAACAAACGGGCACTAGACTAGCTTAGTAGAGCATGTGACTCTTGATCTCAGGGTGCTAAGTTTGAGCCCCACATTGGGTGCAGAGATTACTTAAAAAAATAAAAATAGCCTGGGTGGCTCAGTCAGTGAAGGGTCTCCCTTTGGCCCAGGTCATGATCCCAGGGTCCTGGAATTGAGCCCCGCATTGGGCTCCCCACTCAGTGGGGAATCTGCTTCTCCCTCTGCCCCTCCTCCAGCTCATGCTCTCTCTCTCAAATAAAATCTTTAAAAATAAATAAAAACAACAAACAAAAACACCAAGCTCATGGATACAGATTGGTGGTTGCCAGGGTGTGGCAAATAGATAAAAGGGATCAAAACTAGAGTTACAAAATAAACAAGGCAGTCCGCCCTTGGGAAGCGTAAAGCCAAGTGAGAATAAACACTAAGTTCCTAGAACACTCTAAGTTTTGTAAGGTTACTTTTTTTTTTTCTAAAGATTTTAAGTAATCTCTGCACCCACCCAGGGGCTTGAATTTACAACCCTGAGATCAAGAGTTGCATGTTCCCCCATTAAAGTTACATATCTTGAGCTCTTATATGCGAGGTGCCATTCCAAGCACTTTACAATTTAGCCTCACAATTCTGTTGGATAGGTACTATTATTATCTCCATTTCTCTGCTAAAGAAATGGAGATATAAAGAACTTAAATACCTGGCTAGTAAGTGACAGAACCTGTTCAATCACATAGTAATTAACTGAGCATTAATGATGGGAGATCTAGGAGGGGCATGAATGAGGGCACTCACACTCTTGCTACAAGTTCCTGGAGACTTTGTGACATCGTGTGGGTTCTGGTCACATTTTCTTTGGCCCTTGGTGAAGTCCCCATCAGTTTAACAGGCAGCATAACCATGAGAAAAACATGTCTTTGGAGTCCACAGGGAGCTGGATTCAAATCCCAGGGTTCCCACTTAACTGGTGAATTTGACCAAGTCAAAGCCTCACTTGCCTAATAGGAATAACAACCGGCTACACTGGGAAGTCATGAGGATTCAATATAAAGTTGAGCCAAATGGGGGCACCTGGGTGGCTCAGTCCATTAAGGGGGGGTGGAGTCTTGATTTCGGTTCAGGTCTTTGTCTCAGGGTCCTGAGTTCAAACCCCTAGATGCGCTCCACCCTAGGCCTGGAGCCTACTTTCAAAAAAAAAAAGTTGAGCCATATGAAATTGCTGTTTCTGGACGTCTAAAACGGGGGTCCGGGCGCCTGGGTGGTACAGTCGGTTAAGCGAAGGACTCTTGGTTTCCACTCGGTCATGATCTCAGGGTTGTGGGATCGGCCTGCTTCTCACTCTGCGCTCAGCAGGGAGTCTACTTGGGGTTCTCCCTCTCCCTCTGCCCCTCGTGCTCGTGCTCTATCTAAAATAAACAATTTTTTTTAAAGGGTGGAATCCACCAAAATAGTTAACGTTCCTCTGTGCTTCTGATTTTTCCAGTCTTAAATTTTTTTTCTTATCCTGCTTAAGGCATAGTACTGCTCAACTGTTTGGGTGGCCCTGGGGACTCAAAATTGCATATTGTTGATCTACCCTGTGGAGGCCAGTCAATTAGCCCCTGGCGGCCTCATGAGATTCGGCAATTCCTACAAGGATCTGGAGCTTCTTTCCAGCCAGTCACAAGCACATCCCTTGGGGGCCAGAGAAGTCAAGAGCCATGACATCTCCGTGCCCTGCCACACACAGACTCAGTGCACTTTCATCCTTCTTTCCACAGCCTATTTTGCACTTATTTTTCGCTATACGGCGGGCAGTGATGTTGGCTCCATTTTAAAATGTGCAAACTTGAAGGCTAGAGAGAGTCGCGCACCAAATAGTGTTGAAAGTAACGGGGGTTTGACGTTAGATGGATCAGCCCAGGCAATGCCTCTAGTGTCTGACCGGCTCAAAGGCCTTGAACCTCTCCGACCTGTTTCTTTTTCTGGAGAAGGGCGCTTAATATCTCCTTTCCTCATACAGCTCTTTTGGGTTCAACCCAGGTTCTCCAGGGCTCGCCTTTGGGAGCTCGGGATGTGGCGAGTTGACCCATGCGGAGAGCGAGTGCGCGCCGCGGGGGGTGGGGGGAAAGGGCTCCGCCCAGCGCGCGCACATGCATAAATATCGATATTTTCTTTACACTGGAGCCAGCACTGGCCTCGACATGCCCAGGTTCCGGCCGACTATAAGTACAGCGGTGTATCTCAAAATCCGGAACTTAAAGTACCCAGACCCAGGGAGTGCGGAACAATTGTGCTATCCCCACGGCAGGCGGGGCCGGAAAGCTTGGACGGATGAGGCCCGCGCCTGCGCGTCTCCATCTTTCTCGGAAGAGACCGCCTCCCTCCCCGCCCACGACTCGTAAGCCAAGAGGCGGGGCTCTGCGTCGCGGCGGGTCGTCGCGGGAGCATGGCGACCGCGGATTCCAGCGGGCCCGGGGTGCGGACGTCTACCCCGGGACCCCGGCCCGGCGGGACCCCGGACTGCGCAGCGGGAGCTGCGGGGCTGCCCTTCGGGCGAAGCGGCAGTGGAGTCCCCCTTTTGGGGGAGCGGCCCCCGGCGGTTGTGGAGAAGAGGGGACCGTACATGGTGACGCGCGCGCCTTCCATTCAGGCCAAGCTGCGTGAGTGCGGCCCGATGGGGGGTGTCTCTGCCTGGGCGGGCTACCTGGTCCCCTGGGCAGGCTCCGGAGCCCTGCCGGGGCGACCCCGAAGGGGCAGCTGCAGCCCGCTCGCGTCCCCGAAAATCTGTTCGGAGAGAGGGGGCTCCTGGCGTTTGGGAGACACGGCGGAGTGGGGAAGACCCCGCTGACCCGGGCCCTTTGACTTCCAGAGAAGCACCGGGACCTGGCCAAGGCTGTTCTGCGGAGAAAAGGCATGCTGGGGGCCTCGCCGAACCGCCGCGACTCTTCAGCGAAAAGGTCTCAGCAGGCGCCACCTCTGTGCAAGCAGTTTCCAGAAAAGGCCTTGGTCCTCGGGCTGGGAGACAAGAGTTCTCACGTTTTAAGACCGAGCTAGTGATTCACCTGACGCCAACCCGTCTTTTTCGCTAGTTTAAAATGGGAAGAGGAATGACCTTTTCTTTGCCTTTAAGGATGTAATGATGTCAAGGAAAGGGCTTTGGAATAACAGCTTTGTCAGTGCATGGGATCATCCTCTGGGAGCAGCACAATGGCTGGTTTCCCTAGGAGTGAGGATAGAAAGCAGTGTGGGAACAGCCAGTGCTGTGTTTCTTTTTCAACAGAATGGTAAACTCTGAGGGCTGGATAGGACCTTATCCAGCGCCTCTTATAGATAAGAGCTCAAACTCAAGAGAGGTGAAGAAGAGATTTGCCCCAGGACTTGCAGTTTTTCTGTTCTCTGGTTAAAGTAAGGTGAAGTGGGGGAGCTTTCCCTTACTCGAAAGAGTAGGTGTTTCGTCAGGAGCAGTAGGGGGAGTGGTGTGGGAAAGTGCATATTCCCAGGGGCTGTAGCCAGATACAGGGCAGGCAGCGGTGGCTGTGTGACAGGTAGAAGGCAAGACAGGAGTACTACAGTCAGTTCTTTTTCCATAAGAGCAAGAACTCTGGCTTTCCCTGTGAAATGTTGCTTTATCTATGCTTGGTCTCTTCCCCATCTCCTCTCAGGTCAGTGAAGTTTAACAAGGGCTATACTGCCCTTAGTCAGAGTCCAGATGAAAACCTGGTGTCCCTCGACTCTGACAGGTGAGTGCTCTCCTGGAAAATATCCCTTGGGGAGTGACTTGGGTAAAACTGCAGATCTCTTCCAAGACCCTTCATGCATGTTCCAGAGCTGTCTTCAGAGCATTATCCCTTCCCAGGATAGCTTGGTTAGAGGACTCAGGTGATCATGCTGCTCTTCGATTTGGAACACTAACCTTGTGTGGGGGAATCCTCCTCCCCTGTTATATCTTCACTGTTAGTGACAGTGACCCCGTCCCTGCTAGAGCCAATAGAACGAGTCAGTGGTACTCATGACAGATTCTGGGCTTGAGTTCTGTGATGGTCTTTGTTTCCCAAGTCCTCCAGACCCCCTTGCATGCTCTCCACCTTGCCATTTGCAGCTGGGCTTCACAGGCATCCCCCTGAACTGACTGTTTTCCTCTTCTCCTAGTGATGGGGAGCTGGAATCCAGATACTCCTCCGGGTATTCCTCTGCAGAGGCAAGTCCAGAGCGCCTTTCTGCACGGGGCCAGGCTGCAGGCAGCGTCACCGCCACTGCCAAATGCTTGTCTTGTGCCTGCTGTATGCACGGCACTGTGCCAGACTTCCGGTCTGTTCTCCAATCTTCTATTCTGCCCTACTCCCCCAGCAGAGGTATAGGTGTCTGAGGAAAGCTGTCGAAAATCCAAGAGACCATAGACCCTTAGGGCTGAAAGGACCTCATAAGTCTTCTAGCCCAGGTGACCACTTAGAAAAGGAATCCTCTTGAAAAATCCCACCTAAGTGTTTACCAGCCTCTGCTTGCTTGAATGCTTCTTGTAACTGGGTACTCACGCCCTCCAAGAAGCCCTGCTGCCTACCCTTATTCCAACACACACACACACACACACACACACAAATTCCTTCGTCAGGTAGCTCTTAGAGAAGTCTTCCTTATTAATTTGAAATGTCTCCTACAGGATGGACTCAGTGGTCCTAGGCCTGCCCTCCAGTGTCACCCAGTAATTCTAGTGTCCCTTCCTTTGATTGCCTTTTTTTTTTTTTTAATTTTTTTTAAAGATTTTTTTTTTTTTTTATTCATGAGAGAGCGAGAGAGAAAGGCAAAGGGAGAAGCAGGCTCCCAAGGAGCAGGGAGCCCGATGCAGGACTCGATCCCAGGACCCTGAGATCATGACCTGAGCCGAAGGCAGACGCTTAACCATCTGAGCCACCCAGGCGCCCCCTTTGATTGCCTTTTATCTGAGATCAGCATTCCTGTCTCTCCCCTGGCCATTCTCCACCAAGCTTGCTTTCTTCCAGGCCAAACAACTTGTGTTCCTTCAGTTGTTCCATCAATGAGAGCTCAGACTGAGATACCAGTGGGCTGGCCTTTTGCACACATTTCCAGAGTGACGGTCCCAGACAGAGACACAGGGACGGAAAGATCTGTCATGTGCAGCTTACTGCCTTAGATAGAGGCAGAGTGCTGGAGACATGACTGTACGCCACTGGTATTTTTTCCTTGTTCTGGAAACCCTTGGCCACACCCCGAGTGTCTGCCAAAGAGAATAGAAGCAGTTTGTAAATTTTATCCTCCTTGAATATCTGGGTGCCTGAGATTGTTAAAACTAAGAAAAGAAAAATTAGCCAAGAGCCAGAGAAAGTCCTATGGTATTCCCAATCTCCTGTTTCTTCTGCTCAGCGGAACTGGTAAAGCGAGGCTGACAGGTTCCACTTTGCAGGGAGCAAGCTCTGCTGGCATAAAGGCTAACGTGTTTAACCGGCAGGCGGACAAAGCTGCTCCCCACTCTGTTCCTACATAACTCATCTTCTACCCCATTGTTCTGGTATCGTTGTCCCATATTCTTCAGCCTTTACAGGGACCAGTGGGTCAGGCCATTGACTTTCAAATGTAATCTGGAATCTGATATTTACATCAGATGCCTTAGGATTCTTTAGTGAGAACAGCTCCCCTGGGGGTTAGTGACACTGCAGCCTGGACAGTACTGGCTCGGGCTGCTTGGGGCCCCTCATTGCTGGGTGGGGGCACTTCCTCATGTAGTCCAGTGATGTGTGGAGTTGGCCTGAGGGTGGAGCGTGAACAGGAAGCTCTGGTAAGGGAATGTAGGTCTGCCCTTTGGGCAGCAGTTATTTCTGCTTTGCCACCTGGCTTATAGTTCTCTCCTCTTCTGCTCTTAGCAGGTGAACCAGGATGTGAGCCGGCAGCTGCTCCAGGATGGGTATCACCTGGATGAGATTCCAGATGATGAGGACTTGGACCTCATTCCTCCCAAGCCTATGGCCTCTTCAACGTGCTCCTGCTGCTGGTGCTGTCTTGGGGACTCTTCCTTCTGTACCCTCCAGTAGACATAACCCCCTAAGATGGGCCCTGCTCACCATGCCTGCAGAGCGCTGTTGGCCCTTCTTAGGTCACAGAGTGCAGTGAGGACTGCTGTGAGCCCCAGAATCACTGGCGGCACTGACTCTCTGGGAAGGTCAATGACCTGCAGTTATGCCTTACCTGGTGCTTCTCAGGCCAGAGGCCCCCATCTGGGCCATAGGGTGACAGGTGGAATTCTGCAGTTTTCCTCTGCTATTAGAGCAGAGTTTGGAAAAACCACTTTAATAAGGGCAGGAACAGAGGAATCCTGATGCTTGTGGTGACAGAGTTGGCTAAGGAAATCTTGCAGACACCTTGACTGGTATTTGTCCTGCTCAATGGAGGGAGAAAGAGCTTTTGTGCCCGGGCTATGCTGGACGGTGTTGTATGGAAGCAGAAAATAGCACTTTATGGCTCGCAGCTGGGAGTCTTTGGAAACTAGCTGAACTATTTGGGACCAGTTTAAGAAATTCCATAATGCTCCGTCTTCCTGGCTCTACAATGGGACCCTCAAGAATGCATAAAGCAAGGCCCTTTGGCTCTCTTCCCCTTGCACCTGTTTGGCCCTGGCAGGGAATACAGCCCGCTGCTTGATGGCACAGCAAGATCAAGGCTTCCAGAATCCCTGGACCCAGAGCATCCCCAGCTGGCTCAAACTGGGTGGGTTTAGTGACTGTGGTCAGCCCACCCCTAGTTAGAGAAAAATTGCTCCACTATGTACATATTTATTTATTTGTCTTTCCTTGGTTACCATTCCTTGTCTTGGTCTTAGCTAGTTCAACACCCAGTCTTTGAGTGTAAAGTTTGGGTGAAGGGACTGGAGTTCGCCCCAGAAGCCTGCAGGTTTGGGTGACCAGCAGAGGGAGCTGCAGGGAGCGGTCAGGTGCCTTCCTATTTAGCTTTTGAAACTTGAGAATAGCGATGGGTGAGAAGTGTATGGCACAGCGGTGTGGGCTGTACATCCTACGTGTCAGGATGCCAGCATGGGGAGGAGGGACGTGTGCCAGCTCCCAGGGCCCCTGCCTGAGGAGATAATCGCCCACTGCAGAGGGCTTCTCTTCACTCCAGCATGGGCCTCCCCGCAGATACTGAGGATTGGGCTTTACGGTAACCCTGTGGGGCAGCCCAGCCTCAGCCCTCAGCGTGAACACAGCTGAGACAGGCATCATCTCCCCAGGGACCATGCTAGTTCACCCCACCTCCGATGGTATCTTGCTCTTCCAGTCCTCTCTAGAATTGTTTTCAGCGGTTCCTTTTTTTGGCCTCACCTAGAGCCGTGGCGAGGACTGGAGGAGTGTGGACACGGTTCCCAGCCTAAGGGGCGTGGTAGTTAGGATTGGGGTGTGGGCCCCACATGGGAAGTGCCTGATCTGGTGATTTATTTGATGTCCTGTGGCCTCTAGAGGAATGAGGGATCACATGGACTCTTGTTTTACCCAGTGAGGTGACTGGGAGGCTGAGAAGGTCCGTTAGAAAGACCTTGTCAGACGACGAGGGTAATGTGTCGGTGCTTGACTGGCCTCTGTCTTGGTGCTGCTGTCAAATCTAAAAGTTAAGAATATATGGCACCCAGGGGGCTGTGGTTAACATTTTAGAATCTAGCGGCATCACAGGAGGGAGACGGGACAGAGGCCACGGGCACCTCAGGTTGGGGTCTGGGGAATCAGGGATGCACACTGTTCCAGGAGTGGGACTCTGCAGTGCCACACGGGTGCCTCACCTGCCGAGCACCTGGTGCCCATGCCTGCAGGCAGGGAGGACAGAAGAACGTCTTCATCCTGAACCCCTCGCCCCTCCATAGAGACTATTTTCAGGCCTTTCTGGTTTCTGCAGAGGTGCCGAAGTGCACACGAAGAGAGGGCACAGATGCGGGGCAGTGTAGAGAGACGGTGGTGGTAGCAGGAAGCCGCATGGGGCCACGTTATGTGTGGGGGAATTGGACAGGACAGAACAGCCTGAGCATTTAGCAGCAGCTGTGGGTGAAGGTGGCAGCAGGACCCCAAGACCGAGGCCCCCAGATGGTTGTTACTTTAAGTAAACACTGATCCTGGAGAGGATGTTCCAGGACTGGCTGACTCCGTGCGGAAGGCATTATCTTCATGGGGAAATTTGGAGGAACAGGGCAGCTAGGCAGGGTAGGAATGGTCTGTTGTTTGGGGCGAGAGGTCCCAGGCTAAAATGTCACCAGTAAAGGCATCAAGGTGCCTAGGGCCGAAGTGCCTTAATTCAGAGTGCTAGGTATTCTGCAGGTGACAGTGTCCTGGGGAGAGAGGGGTGTATTCACAGTTAACCTCACAGAGGGGAGTATGTGTATGGTGTTTACAGAGTACAGAACTCTTGGCTTAGGCTTCTACAGCTCTGGAAGTTTCTAAGAATAAATACAATCATGCTAGTTGAGCTGTCTCTGTGTTGCAATAGGATTTTAAGCAAGGCCTAGACCACAGCCCTCTGATTCTGAAATGAAAAGCCTAACAGCCCCAGCTGTGGCCATTCCTCCTAGGATCTCCCGCTCCCTGCTATTCCCAGTGGGCATCATTTTCAGGCCTGCATCATTGGAGGGAGCACACCTTTAGCATTTCTCTTAGATGGCATTCCTTTTGGCAGACCCTTTGCTTTTCCAGGTCATCTTTTGTTTTTTAGCTGAACAAAATTTGGAGGCCAAAAAAAAAACCCAGAACAGATTGGCCAGAACTTTTTTGAAGGTAGTTTCCTGGATTTCCCTTGTGCAGGGGGTCTAGAATGGGCAGCAGCCCGGAAAGATCCTTTTGTGCCAGTCTAAACCCTTACTCCACAGGAAGGAGTGAACAGCCTGCGGCTCTGCTTAGTCTGGGGTGACAGGATCTCAGACAGCTGTGCCACCTCCTACGGAGGTGTATCCATGTCTAAAGGGTAGGCACAGGGCGAGTAGATGTCCTATATACTTTCTGCCATTTTAGAAAATGTAGCTAGGTTTCTCTTCACAACACAAATGGGGTCGTCCTGTCCCCGAATCCCCGTATGTATAATGACTGAACGTGTTCTAAAGAAGTGGCTGACAAACTTTCTCTGTGAAGGGCCAGTGCATCTGTAACATTTTGCCACTGCAGCCTGAAAGCTGCGGGACAGAATGTAAATGATGGCTGTGGCTCGATCCAGCCTGCTGGCCTTAGCTTGCTGATCCCTGCCCTGAGGCCACCTGAGAACACTTAGGAATCTTGCCCTGACTACCTGTCTTTAGATTCACCTTCCACATCTGTAGGACCCGAGGTCAGCCTGCAAGCTCCGCGCTAAATCTGAAGCTGGCTGCCCCTCCCGTGTGTTCCTATAAAAGGCTCCATACAGACCCACCCCGGGGAGCCGTTGGAAGCAGCAATTAAAGCAAAAACTGACATCCAGGAAGGGCTTGATCAGCCCACTTTTCAAGGACTGGAACGCTGAAGGCTGACTGCTCTACCTCGCAGCCCAACACAAGTGACCTTTAATTGCTTTGACAGAGCCAGAGGGTGACAATGAGTAACATTAGTCCACAGGCCTACTCCTTCCCCCTCCTTTGCAGCTGAGGAAATGGGCAGTCCCAAGGCCAAAACGCTGTTCGTAGAAATTACCTACCCTCTTGCTGTGAGTGATGCTGAGCTAATCACAGATTTTTACCAGCCTGCCTAATGCTGTCGGCTGGAACAGAGCTGCCGCCTCCTGCCTTGAGGAGAGCCTGGCTCAGGTATGGTGAGGATACGAAGGGAGTGTCAGGTCTTAGTCCTCACCAGGGTCCTCCTCCCAAGAGAAAGATGGTTTGTCCGAGGCTTGCTCTGGAGTCACAACCTTCAAGCTCACTACCCCCGCTCTTCCAGGGCATACTCAAGTCGAGAGCAGGGATGGGGTCAGAGCTGGGCCTGAGAAGAGGCTGGCCAGGATTTAGGGTAACCGTCAGAGGAGAGCCAGGAAGGCTATGGTCTCTACAGCAGGCAGCAGGCACGGAACATCAGTAGGTCATCGGGCGCAGTGAGCTTCAGTGAGACGCTCTCATTGGCCCCAATGAAAAGCACCCCACCACGCTGCAGGGGGATCGGCGTCTGGGCTGTAGGACTGCTGGCTGTCACTCTCCCCTGGACCACCAGGACAATGCTGGCAGAGTCCACTGCCAAGACCTTGTATTCAGTGATGGAGCCAGGGACCTGGGCAGAAAGAAACAACAGGATGATGCAGCTCGTTTTCTGTGCCTGTCTGCTCACGGGGGAGCCAGGACAACCTCAGGGGCAGCGAGAGGGAGAGCTCGCCCACCTTCTCCCCCACTGCTCAGGCTCCTGTCAGCATGGAGGCCCATGTCTGGTCCCTGGTACAAAGAGGAATGGGTAGGCCCCGCGGCTGCGGCTGTGACATGTGTGGGCCCGCCCCCCCCCCCGCCACCTCCTTTAAGTGCGTAAAAGAAAGGGAACCCAGCTCCAGGTGTACTCCACATTGTGGCCCTTGCCAGGCTTTTTCCTGCCATACGAAAGACACCCACCACCATAGCCGCCGCCACCCCCACTCACCTCCATCCTCATGACAGTGAAGTCTGGCACGGGGGGGTCATAGATAGAGAGGTAGGGGTCTTCCAGGCTCCGTGTTGGAAGAAAGAGCCTGTCCTTGCTGGGGATATAGCTGAGCATTTCACACAGGGTTGGCACATCGATGAACTTGGGTGTCAGGCCAGCACGAACAGTGTTGTCTGAACACGCCATGCACTCCACACAGTCTGGGGACAGACAGGTGTCATGTGCTAACCTGATGAAGGATGTCTTGGAGTTTGGCTCACCAGGGCTGGGCCTCCTAACCCGAGGGCCATGAACCCCCTGCAGAGTTAGGCAAAAATGTGTGAAATGCATAATCTGGGAGAATGGGCTAAGAGATACCACAAACAGGTGGCAGGTCACCCACTTTTGTCAGGGGGTGTCATGTTAGCCCCTGGGGGAGCCCCAACCCTCCCCAGACTTTATTCTACCACAGAATCCTGTCCGTGAGTGGATAAATAGCCAACAGTCAAAATGTGACACCTTGGGCGCCTGGGTGGCTCAGTTGGTTGAGCGACTGCCTTCGGCTCAGGTCATGATCCTGGAGTCCCAGGATGGAGTCCCACATCGGGCCCCCTGCTCGGCAGGGAGCCTGCTTCTCCCTCTGACCCTCCCCCCTCTCATGTGCTCTCTCTCTCTCTCATTCTCTCTGTCTCAAATAAATAAAATCTTTAAAAAGAAAAAAAATGTGACACCTCTCTGTGGCAATGTATTTTCTCACAAAAATTTCTGGATAGATAGGACAGACAGGCAAAGGTAGTGTGAGGCAGGGGAGAGAACAACAGCCTTGCTCCAGTGTAGCCTGGGTTCAGACTGTTCCCACACATGCAGACAGGGGAGCATGAGAGTACCGTGACCTCACAGGGTCCGTGTGAAGATTCAAGCAGTGTCTAACACTAAGCTGGCATTCTTCATCCCTACTGGCCACTACCCGGCCCACCCCAGGAACCCTGGGAGGTCAGAGCCGGCGGGACCTTAAAGGTCTCTCTTTGACCCCTCCCCCTTTTATCTAGATGAGGAAGCAAGGCTTGGTAATGGGGCTCACTGTTAAAACGTGGCTCACCTTGGGTTACCTGGCTGCCTCAGTCAGAGGAGCATGCGACTCTTGTTGATCTTGAGGTTGTGAGTTCAAGCCCCACACTGGTTACAGAGATTACTTAAAATCTTAAAAAAAAACCCACCACCAACAAAAAAACGTGGCTCACCTCCTTTCAGGTAGGCATGGGGCACATTAGCCTCCAGAAACATGGCCTCTCCCGGCTTCAGGGCGAGCAGGTTCAGGAAGTAAATGGCAAAGCATCCAATATCACCTGGATACTGCTGGTGCAGCTGCAGTAAGAGCTCCCCATAGATGTCTTCCATGTTGTTTCCAGCAGCCACTGAGGGTCACAGAGCAGCCCAAGGCCACTTAGGAACACACTCAGTGGTGTTCACAGCCCCACCTTGGCCAGCAAGTCGTGGGCAAATCCCTGCCCCCAGGAATCCAGAAACGGGTAGGTGTGTTCTCCTAGCCACAACCCCACCCTTTGGGGGCCAGCCTTCCTTGATCTTCCAGCCCATACAGATACCATTTTCCCCATTCTGATTGTCTATGTGCCCAGCATTATTCCAGCCACTAAAAGGGCTAAAGTTTGGGGCCAGATAATCCTTTGTTATGGGGGCTGTCCTGTGTACTGTAGGATGTTTAGCAGCATCTTTGGTCTCCACCCAAAAGATAGCACCCCCAACCCATGTTTGGAAACAAAAAATGTCTCTCTAGACAATTGCCAGTGTCCCCTGGTTGAGAACCACTGCTATAGAGCTCAATCTATTTAGGGCATAACCCAAGAGTTCCATATGGGGTGACCAACTGTCCCAGACAGCCCAGGCCCTTCCCTTTTTTAGCCCTGAAAGTACTGTGTCTCAGAAAATCATTAAGTTCCAGGCAAACCGAGTTGGTTGGTCACCCCAGAGAGCAAGAGGCAGAATACGCCCAGGACCAAAAATGTGTCCTCAGCCTGGGCTAGAGTAGTGGGGGAAGGCTTTGGAAATTAGGGGAGGGCAGGGTGGTGAGCTCAAATTTCGTGAGTGTGCAGAGAAGAGGGGAGGGCATGAGTAAGTGAAAGCTGAATGTGTCAGTGCCAAAGTGAAGAAACCAGCTGGTCTGGATTGGAGGGTGGTTCTGAGTCTTCGTACAAAGACGTGAATACCCACTCTGTGCTAAGCACTGGGAATATAAAGGTCAAAGAGCCAGGTCTGTGACCTGGAGAAAACCCCGGTTTTCACAAGTTTGCATGGGATGATATAGACTCACAGGTGCTAAAGGCTCTACCTCACTTAGGAACAGGGGGTTCTGGGAACTCCCGGCAAGAGTAATCTGTTCTGTCAAAAGTGCAAGAAGCCCCAAAGGGGAGGCATGCAAGCAGAGACAACACCAAAAACTAAACAAAACAAAAAAAAAAACAAAGAAAACAAAGGATATGCTTGGATAAAATAATTCTCTGTGGCTCAGAGGTAGCAGGGGAAATGTGTAGAGAGAACCAGAAGAGCTCCAGGGTCTCCTAGAGAAGGGGCTGGGGCCTCATCACATGTGCCCCGTAAGCTCATACCTGGAGTCCATTCTGCCTTGTTTTATACTGCTTGTACTGACCTCCCAACCCAAATGTGACAACCACACCCATCACAGTCATTTCCTGAACTCTCCTTAGTTAGCACAAGGTTGGGCACAGAGCAGGTATTTAAGGAAACGTGTGTGTGTGTGTGTGTGTATTAACAAAAAAAAGGGCGGGGAGATCTACTGATTCAAAGTCCTGGGCTTCTGGGCTTCAGGCCTTTTGAGAAAAGGAGATGAGGATCCCCTTATCCTCTTCCTGCTCTCTAGGCCAAAAGTACAAATCCAGGGTGCCTGGGTGGCTCAGATGGTTAAGGATCTGCCTTCGGCTCAGGTCATGATCCCAGGGTCCTGGGATCGAGTCCCGCATCGGGCTCCCTGCTCAGCGGGGAGCCTGCCTCTCTCTCTCTCTGTCTCTTATGAATAAATAAATAAAATCTTTAAAAAAAAAAAAGTACAAATCCATTCATGGGGAGCAACTGTAGGGCTGGGGAAGTCTCAGAATGCCTAGGTGGAAGACCTCCTAATAGTCGTCCAGGCCCATCTGTCTCCAGCCCTCTAGAGAAAAGAGCCAGTCAGGAAGCAGCACTCAACCTAGGGCCCTGCTCCACAAAGACAGAAAGAAATGCTCAGTTGCTAATAGGCCATCTAAGTCATCTAAGGGCCCATTTTGGTGTTCCGCCTGCGCCAAAGGGTTGAGAGGCCTGTCCTCACGGACTAGTGTCTGTGCTGGGGCAAAAGGCAGGACAGGGCGCCGCACCCAGGCGCACAACACCCACCTTGCTGGGAGATCCGCTTCACCAACAGGTTGAGCTGCTCCACCACCACCTTCTTCTCACTCTTCATCAGGTGGGAGAAACAGCTCTGCAGAGCAGAGGCCACAGACTGGGAGTCACTGTTCATGCTCTGCTTCAGCTGTGTTGCTGCAGTATCTCCAATCAGAAACCGGAACTCAGGCACCTCTGCAGAAGGCCAGGCCAGGGCCCATACCAGGAAGGGCAAGATGGAACGCGAAGAAGCGGGAAGTTGGAGGAGGCCTCCCTCTCCCTCCCCTAACCAAGGAGCCAGGCAATGCTAAGCAAACTCTGAGGTGAAAACCAACTGCTCACCACCAGCCTCAGCAACCACACCTGGGCCTGGTCTCACAGGCCCGCCCCAGTGACTTCAAGAAGTCATCAGGCCAACCAGCCCCCCAGTTCCTGTGACGCTTAGCCTCTGTTCTCTGCCGCTGCTCCAGCTCTGCCTGGGGTTGCCCATGCATCGTAGGCCCAGTATGCATGTTCTCAGCATTTTGCCCAACCTTACTTGTCAGAAACGTCACAATTTCCTCAATGGGCCGGAAACCACATAAACCCTGGAAGGAGGTGAGGGCGATGGCCATCTCTGGCTTATGGTTGGCATCAGGGTAGTGCTGTGGAGCCTGGAGGTGCAGTTTCTCTGCCAGCTCCTGTGGGATGGCCAGGGGAAGAGGAGGACGGTCAAGGTGCAGTCACCACCTAGCAGGCTAGTAGGACACCAGTCCCACCCGGCCCTTGCTCTCTCCCCTCCCCAGTCGCCAGACAGCAGTGGCTTCATACTTTTGGCAATGGGCCCAGTCAGGGCATAATGCAGAAACTCAGGGTTTAGCCAACCCAGGGCAGGAACACAGGCCAAACCTGGCGGAGACTTTAAGAGGCCCGGACTGGGGATCAGGAAGCCCAAACACCAAACCAAGCTCGGACACGAACAAGCTGTGTGACTTTGGCTACATCCCTGTCTTCTCTGGCTCTTACTCTGCCTTCTAGAAATGAGAAGTTTGGACAGACAAATGCCTAGGAGCTGAGGCAACAGCTAAGATGCCTGCTCTGCTCTGCTCTGGAAGGTGAACTCTCCCAGAGAGCCAGCGGGGGAAACAGTAGATATGAGTAGTCCTGGGCTGGATGAGGGGAACCCAGGAGAAGCTCCTTCGGCACAGACTGGTCAGCTGTCCACTGAGATTTGGCTGCCAGCATGTGTCACCAGCATCTAGCCTTCCTGAGCTAAATCGGGAGTTGTCAGGCCTGGATTTAGTTTTGGGCTGGAGTGCGGCGTGGGTGGGGTAAAAAGCAGCAGTAGAAGTAGTGGGAGGGCCTTGACGTGAGTTCTTCTGTACTTTGACCTCTCCATCCCACTCTGATCCTGTACCTTGTTAGGGTGTGCCTGGATGGACAGGGCCGTTTCAACCGAGAGCACTTTGAAGAGGAAGGGCAGCTTGCCATTAAAGGTGTCCTTGACCTTTGAGCCCAAGCAGTCCTGGTTCTCGGCAATCCACTGGCCTAGGGTCTTCTGTGAGATGCGACTGTCAAGGATCTTGGCATCTCCCCGGGGGTGGGACCCCATCCACAGCTGGAAAAACAGGAAACTTGGGAGGGAAAGAAGAACCTGGCACCACCAGCCTGAATCCTGAGATGGGCCTCTCAGGCCTGGGTATAAATGCTCATGCCATCACAGACATATAGGAAGGCAGCAGACCCCAGAACACCAGTAGTCTGGAGACCCACTTCAGGCTCTGCCTCCAGCCAGCCGTGGAGGCCTGGGCTAGTTATTTCTGGTCACTTGGTCTCGATTTTCTCATCTGTCCAATGAGAATGACAACTGCACTGTCAAGGTCACTAAAAAGCTCTCTCAAATGGCTCTGAGAAGAGTTAATATTCACTTATTCCAATCTCAGAAGTAGAGGCCTTGCTATGCTTTGGCTTTATCTCACCTAAATGGGCAGGAAAAATACATATATTAGGCTATTAAAATGTAAAAGCTAGTCAAAGTAAAAGTTTTAGTTGTCAAAGAGGGTTGAATTAGGGGTGCCTGGGTGGCTCAGTCGGTAAGTGTCTGCCTTCAGCTCAGGTCATGATCTAGGGGTCCTGGGATCGAGTCCCACATCAGGCTCCCTGCTCGGCAGGAAGCCTGCTTCTCCCTCTTGCACTCCCCCTGCTTATATTCCGTCTCTAGCTGTCTCTCTCTCTGTCAAATAAGTAAATAAAATCTTACAAAAAAAAAAAAGTGTTGAATTAAAATTCAGTAAATGCTGAGAGTTCTTGGGGGTAAAGAGGGTACCGGAAATCCCAGCCTAGTATGACAAAACCTCTCTTCTTTCAGTGCTACCATCTGGATTCATCACCTGATGGGATCTGAAGAGCCAAGAGGGCCTCCTCCCTCTCTGCGGCCTCCCTCTCCCAGATGATCCACAGGACTTGCCCCAGGCCCTCTGAGTGGAGGAATCCTTTCCTCTCACGTGCTGTTAAAGTGAAATGCAGGGGCGCCTGGGTGGCTCAGCCTGTTGAGCATCTGTCTTCGCCTGGGATGGAGCCCCATGTTGGGCTCCCTACTCGGCGGGGAGTCTGCTTCTCTCCCTCTGCCTCTCCCCTCAAGTCTTGCTCTCTCTCGCTCTGCACTAATAAATAAATAAAGTCTTTAAAAAATATATAAAATGAAATCCAACCCAGGTCTCACCTCTGCATATGGCTTGTCTTCTGAGATCCGGGCCTGTGGGTCACTGCTGGCCAGCAGCCGAGCCACTTCACTGTTGGAACCCATCTTCCCCCAGGCATAGTGCTGCACTGCACAGGAAAGTGGGAATACTGGGGGCAGGAGGGCAGAGACCGTGGGTCAGCTTCCACTGCACTCCTGAGGCCTGACCCTACGGTCTTGGGAAAACTAGACATGAGCTGAGGGTTCTGTCTGGGGGACGAAGTCAAATAAGTAGTATGTAGGTTGTTGAGACAGTTCTCCGCAGGCCTCGATATTCCCATCTGTAAAGCGGGCAGTAAGGCTTCTCCGTAGACGTGAGGGAGATAGTTGCGTGGAGGGACGGGGAGGGAGCGGGAGGAACCTATTACACGACACCCCGTCTCGAAGTGATCCACGCGCGGCTCCTCCCCTCAAGACCCTCCTGCGAGCGCTGAAAAAACGGCTCAATCCCCATCGCAGGTGCCCCCTCCTCTGTCCAGAGCCCATCTGTCTTTCCGCGGAGTCGCAAGCCTGGGTCCCACCTGGCATATCAGGTCTGGAAGGGTCCCCGCGACGCGACCCACCCCCACCTTCCTCGGCCCCCAGGCGACAGCCCACCTTGCTGAACGGCCATCCTCCCGGTACCGGACCAGGCTTCTGGCTCGTACGCCCTTCCCGGCAGCACCCGCGGCCCCTCTGCCCCCAGAGCTTCATGGGAAATGTAGTTCCTCCAGCGCCTCCTTGGAGGCCCGTGCGCCTTGTGCCGACACTCCTCGGACTCTTCATGCCTCTGCCACCCTCCAGCTGTCACGAGGAGCCTCCAGCAGCCCAGAGACTTCCGGCCCGCAATCCTGGGTCTCAGTATTCATTCGTTCCTTCCTTCACGGGACATAGATTTACTGAGCACTGGCAAAATGTCGCGGGCTGGTGATACATCCGAGAACAAGATCCCTTTGCCTTTATAGAGCGTACATTCTGATGAAGGGAAGACGGGCAAATAAGTATAATAAATAAGTAAATCATATAGTATGTTGGAAGATAAGTTCCACGAAAAGTAAGGATGGGTGGGTGGGAGTGGGAAGCAGTTTGCCGAATTTTAAATGTCTCGGTAAGTCTCATCGAGGAGGGGAGGCTTGAGCACAGACTTGGAGGTGAGGAGGAATGTTCTGGCACAAGAAATAGTTTGAGGGCGCCTGGGTGGCTCAGTTGGTTAAGCGACTGCCTTCGGCTCAGGTCATGATCCTGGAGTCCCGGGATCGAGTCCCGCATGGGGCTCCCTGCTCGGCAAGGAGTCTGCTTCTCCCTCTGACCCTCCCCCCTCTCATGCTCTCTATCTCATTCTCTCTCTCAAATAAATAAATAAAATCTTAAAAAAAAATAAAAAGAAATAAAAAAGAAATAGTTTGAGCAAAGACTCTACGGTGGGAACGTGGGAATGTGTTTGTCCTATTCTGGAGTAAATAGCAGAGAGGCCGATGTGGCTGGAGCAAAGTGAGCGTGTGTGTGGAGGCGGGGTACACGTGAGGTGGTCAGAGAGGAAAGGCAGTGGGTAGAACTTTGCAGGCTGTTGTGAGAACTTCAGCTTTTACTGAGTAGCTCAGTCAGTAGCAAAGAATTGCTGTGATCTTTTTTTAAAAAATTTAAAAAATATTTTATTTATTTATTTATTTGACACAGAGAGACAGCGAGAGAGGGAACACAAGCAGGGAGAGTGGGAGAGGGAGAAGCAGGCCTCCCGCCAAACAGGGAACCCAATGCTGATATGGGACTCCCTGTGATCATGACCTGAGCCGAAGGCAGATGCTTAACCACTGAGCCACCCCGGCGCCCCAGAATTGCTGTGATCTAAGTAGGGACTCACTGATGCTTGATGATGGCAAATGTCACACGCAAGGCCCTTAACCACCTCAGCTTCAGTTTCTTCCTCTATAAAATGGAGATAACAATGTCAGCCTGACAGGTGTGTGGGAGAGTGAGATGGGATGGTGTGAGGTGCAGGAAGGCAGTCAGTGCTCGGTGCTCCTCTGATCCTCCCTGCCCTAAGTACTGCAGACACAAACCCAGTCGCTCCTCCAGGCTGAGCTGCTCACATGTCACACACAGAAGTCAGGGAGAATCACCTGGAGCTCTGCATGCTGAAGGCTGGGCTGGGCCTTGTTTGTGGAGTAATCTTGCTTAATCCTCTGGAAATAGGCCCTTACATCCGGACCTCAGTCAGCAGCCCAGGAGGGCAGCCAGCTGAAGCACGTGGAATGAGGGCCTACAGTCCTGACTCTGCTTCCCTCCCCCTTCCCCAATTCCCACAGTCTCTACCTCACATGCCGAGGGGATAGAAGGGGTGGTTTCCTCTGTAATGTTCTGCCCGGCTGTGGACATCCACCTACCCCAGGGTCCCCTGGCCCAGATAAATCAGCCTGCACTTCAAAGGAAGCTTCACCCTACACTAAGGAATAATAAAATGGAAAATACAAGAATCCTACAAACAGCACATTTCACATACCTGCTACCTTTGAATACTTCTCCTTCTCCTCATCCCCACTCCCCTAGCCATATGAACCTTCTGGGAGAAGTTGGAATTTAGACAGGAAAGAGGAAGGTAAGAAAAGTGGATGAGGTAAACAATAAATATTTACTTATTGCCCATCATGTGCTTGGTACTATGTTAGGGCCAGAAATAAAACAATGAGCAAAACAGACCCTACTCCTGCCCTTGTGGAGCTTACAGTCTAGTGAGTGAGACAGACATAAACAAATAACCACCAATACAAGTGTATATTTACAATCTACAATACCTATTATGAAGCAAAACTACAAGGTAATATAAGCATTTGTTGTGGTAGAAGGCTGTGATCTAACCTATAGAGTGGAGAGGCCACTCCTGAAGAGGGGGCATCTGAGCTTGGATAAAAGGATAAGTAGGGGTTAACTAGGGTTGATGAGGGCATAGGCTAAAAGCACACCAGGAAGAGGGGACTTCATGGGCAAAGGCCCCCAGGTGGGAGGGAACAAGGGAAGTTTGAGGAACTGAAAAGCCACTAGGAGGGCTGAATAGGTGGGGCAGATCCTACAGGACCTAGAGGCCATACAAGAATTCGGGTCTTTATGGAAAATAATTGAAAGACTTTAAGCAGTAAGGTTTAAAAAAATAAAATGTCATATTACTTTATAATAATATTTTAAACGATCGATATTGTTATATTTTATAGTATTTTGTCCCCTTTAAAGCGATTTCTGTTTACAACATAAACAACAATGGACCAATTAGCAGCCCTGTACGAGAGCAGGGTAAAGAATGGCAGTGGCTGGATTCGGTGGCAGCAGAAATGAGCAGAGCAGAAAGACATGAAGAAATAAGGGTAGTGGGGAGCAGCCATCAACCGCATTGTTGAAATCCCTCATTCCCTTAACAAATAATTGATGTCCAGATTCAAATCCCAGCTCAGGCCCTAAACCTGTCTGGGCTCAGGGATCCTCATCACTAAAACGATAAAACTTGACAGCAGGGGGCAACTCCTAAAAAAATCAGGGCTCAGCACGTGTGTGGGACAGCTGCACGGTCGGTTCTTCCGAGAAGAACTCTGCGCGGCTCTACCACCAGAACCCTCGCCTAGCTCAGCGAAGTCCTCTTGGGTCAGGAACTCCGTCCCCCACTCCCGCCGAAATAGGCTCAGACTCCAGTCTCCTGCCTGGACCAGTGCGACTTCCCAAACTTGCCCTCCAGGGAAATGAAAGGGTTAACTTTCCGACTCCACTTAGCGGAGTTTACTTGAGAATTTTCCAGCACAAGTTGGAAGCTCTCAGACTGCTGGGAACGTCTCCACTTCCCTCTGGCCTGGGCGCCGCCCCTAGTCCCGAAGTTCAAATATAGGTAAGGAGCGGATGGAAGCCGAACGCCCGCCCGCCGCTCTGTAGTGGGTTGGGCAGGAGGGCGGGACGGACCTCTGTGACGTCAAGGGCCACGCCCTCCTAGGAGGGCGCTGCGCCTGCGCCAGAACGGCTGCCTCGCTCCCGGAAGTGGAGGGTCTGCACGGAGAGCGCCGCTGGGTCTGGGTGCCCGGAGGCAGAAGCGCTCGCGGAGCTCGCTCGTCAGCCCCCGACCGCCATGTCGTCCTTCGACACCAACCCCTTCGCAGACCCAGTGGACGTAAACCCCTTCCAGGTAGAGCCCCCAACTCAGTTCTCTCTAGTGCCGAAGGCCGCGGTCCCGGCCTCTTTCGCTGGAGCGGGGAGACGTGGCGTAGGAGAGACGGGCTGTCTGCCCAATGGGAGAATGGGTTCTGAGGGCTGGCCTATAGTAGTGTTTGGGGGGCGGGACTAGCAGCAGGTGGAACTGCGGAGGGGGCGGGGCGCTGTAGCTTGGGGAGAGGTGGTGGGACCCTCTAGCTCCCCGGATGTCGCCCCTCTGGCTGGACCCTGCTAGGGGAGGGGACTGAAGCAGACGCGGTTAGGGAGACCCCCAGCGTCGGGGAGAGAAGCGACTTCAAGTGAGGGGGAAGTGTGGCTACCCCATCCCGCAGTCTTGGGGAGACATCTGCCTTGAGTCACGTTAGGAAAGGGGGTGACAACAACGTAATGAAGAGGTGGAAGCCTCTAGTGGGAAGGAGAAATGTGGGAAGATCCCAAGTTCAGCTCTCCCCTCACCCCCCGAACAGCCAAACTAGCCTACAAGGTTAGGAGACCCACTGAGATTTGCTAGGAAAGGAAGGTTGGGAGAGGGTGGGGAGGTAGCCAACGCACGCTGAAATATGGACTTTATGAGAATTCCACACCTTGGCCACGGGTCTAGTTTGGCCTGGGATTTGGCTAGATGGGAGAGAGAGCCCAGGTTAGGGAGGGAGAAGTGAGGGGGCTCTGAGGGACGTGAAGCACAAGAAGTGTGGTCTGATGGACCTGTGTGTGTTGGCAGGGTAGTTGAGATGTGTTGACCTGTGAGCTGGCCTGATCTTTTGAGCAAAGGATAGCGGAAGAAGTCTTCCTACTTAAAGCCGAAACCTTTCTGCCTTTTAGCTGAGGGTACAGGGGTATTCTTTTTCCACAATGAAGGGCTGGGGCTCCTGTTAGCTCCAGATCTCTTGTGCCTCTTGTTTCATGTCTGCTCAAAACCAGTTCTAGGGAAGCTTAATTGTGCTGACTGGTGATTTATGAGCTCCGAGGTTTCTGCTCTGTCAGGATGTCACCAGGCGCATTAACTCATCCTGCTTGTATTTTATTCTGGTCATTGGCAGCTGCGAAGTTTCCTGCAGGTGGGGGGGAAGTACTTAGAGGGGTCCTTCCTGCAACTCACAGTATGAGCTTTCTCACCTTGAATTCCTTCAAGGGTCAGAGCAAAGACAAAGGAGACTAGCAGGGAATAATTGTGTACTGTCCAAGTGAACATTTTATGCCTCTTTCTTGGTCTCAAGATATTTAGTTAAAGGGAGCCCTCAGGGCAAATTTTAGTAGCTTGGTCTTTGTAACATCCTGAACATTACTCTTGCAGCTTAATGCTTCTTGACGGAACCTTTGCAGGGACCTTGTCTCTTATGTAATGCAGTCATCTCTATTAGTTGAGTAAAGAAAAAACATTTGCATCTTTTTTTTTCTGCAAGTGCCATCTGGTAAGAGCTTGGTTTAATTACAAAACTGCTTTATAACACTGGACTTTGAATTTTAGTAAGGATCTAGTAGTCTCTTGGAATACGTTCTGTGTAATGATTGGCTTTTTTTT